TTTTTTTTTTTTTTTTTTTTTTTTTTTTTTTTTTTTGTCTTTTTCCGTGTCCGGCAACGGATCGCAACCCTCAGTGTCGCCCCCGCACCGGGCCGGGGACCGGCAACGGGATCGCAACCCTCGGCGTTGCTCCCGTGCCTCGCTCAGCCAGCGAGCGGAACCGGTCTGCATGTGGGATCCGAACCCTCGGGCGGGAGCGCCGCTGCGCTTCCCAAGTGGCGCACTATAGCAGTGCGCCACCGGGCCGGCCCATGACTTTTTTTTTTTTAATGCTGAAATCAGTCAAGAGCAGGAGTCATCATCAAAGGGACCCCCGAAATGACATTGTTGGTGTTTTTCACATGCAAAACAGGTTTAAAGGAATAGCATATGGCTTTTTAGAAGTCATAACCAAGTGGTAACGAAGTGTTGGGACTCTTTAGTTAAGAGGCCAGTACTTTTCACTCTACCCCCGGGGTGACGTGCAGGGAAGGCCACACTGAGAATGGAGAAATAGTGTATCCACTCTGATTGTTCTGCCCTAGCCTCTTCTCTAAAACAAAGACTGACAATTGCCCTGAGTTATGGAGGTACTTTTTGTTATGTGCAATACAGCTCAGAAGAAAGGTGTGAGACCCTTGCACCAGTTCACCTCCCATTAGAGGCTGGTCTGGAATGATAATCCCAGAAGATGAAACTGATGCTGAACTATGACCCTCAATTTACAAATCATTTTTGTAAAGAGTAAAAAAAAATTGGTCAAACATATTTTTGGCATTATCTGAATGAGTGGAATCTTTCATGCTTATTTTCTAAGAAGAAATGAAAACAGCATGCACTGTAGTTTCTTAGTTTAGGGAAAGAGAGAATGTGAGGTTTTCAGATTATATTTTATTTTGAACCTGGGTGTTTGAATTTTATTTTTACAAAGCTGAATTTAGTATATTCCCTCAAACCATAGTAAATTTCTATTCTGTTGCTTAAGGGATCCATCAGTTAAAATGTTGGTCTTTCATCTTTATTACCCTCCCATTAAAGTGAAAGAAACCGGGACTCACTTCAGTTTAGAAGAAGCAATTTAGTTGGTAACATCCTTACTCAAGTCTTTACAAAGGCAGAAAGTGCATTATGGCTTAGATTTCACACATCTATCTGCATAAGAAGCAACTAAACCTTTTAGACATATACTATGTTAAATTTAATAATATGCTTTGATTAGATTATTTTATTACAACATTTTTCCATTACCAGTCATTTCCTGTGCACTGTTACATTCATAAAACCTGTCCCCCCCCACCCCCCTTTGTTTGTTTGTGTATGTAAAAGCAGGGCAAAGTCTCTTTCCTTTTTGCTACAGCTGTTAGGTCTGAAAGGGACAGATTAATAACTAAGCACCACATTGGACAAGCTCTTCTTGTCCCCTGCACCAGTAACCCTTTGCTATAATGAGGACACAAAGAGCCTCGCATCAGGCTGCTACCCTTCTTCATAACTCAAAAGCGTCACTGTGGCAATAGCCTCTAGTGCTATTTGTCTTTAGTGCAGTTGTGACACTTCGGCATGATCCATAATTTGGCAGCTATTTACCGTGACATTTCCCTTCAGTGCAGCCATAACATTCAGTGAAGCCATTATTTGGTTCCATTTACCATATAAATTGTATTGTTGTGCATGCATGCTAGCAGCTACATTAGGTACCTGAAAATAAGTAAATCTTGTAAAATAGATACTAACAGCTATTCAGCAGTAGACTTTTCTTGCTCCTTAGATGGAAGGAAAGAAAAATTAAATATAGTCCCCAACTTTCCTGGAGCATCTTTAATTGCGTTTATATTTATTGAGCGTGGTACATAACTGAAACCCACGACTTTGAAAAATAATCTGGTGGACTTCACTTTCAATTAGAAAGTCATGTGGGATTTCAGCTTAACGATGAGAGCTGCAGAAATCTTTGGGTCCCTGAAGGTTAAGAGGCAAGCGGATCGGCTGTAGGCATGATTCAGAAGAGAAGGCACTGTCTGTCTCCCTACTTTTCCTGTGTGGTCAGTAAAAGTGTGTCACATCGGATGAGACTAACGAGAAGCATCTCATTCCCCCAGAACACGTGAAGTGAAATGAGAATGTGGGATCAAGAGCTGCTGTTCTGTGTTTCCACGACTAGAGAAAAAACACACCTCCTATGTCCAAAAGCCTCTAACGAGAAGCAAATGTATTATTATTTCAGGTCACTTAGGTCCCTACTGTGCACGGTGCTACTTCAGGCACATGAAGTATGCTGTTGTTAATCCCTTGTGGTGTGCCAGAGAGTGCCCTCCCAGGTCATGTCATGTGTGCCCTCACTTGAATGTAGCACACTTTTTTCCCTTTCCTGTGCATATATTAATTTTTTAAAGTTCCCTAATTTCTACAGTTCCTCTTTCCAATATTTACTTTCTTGTCATGTTTTCAACACTAATTTGCTTAAGAGAAGAGAAAAATTTTCCATTTCTATTTAGTTGGTAAGTGATTTATAGGAAAAAAGGGCCATTTCCTGAGGATGTGGATTCTGAAAATTTAGGACTGACATTTGCTACATCTCTCACTTGTGAACTACTTATTAGCATGAGACCAAATTCTCCCAAAGCAAAGAAGAATTTGTGAACTATTTTCAAGACTGATTTTAAAGTCTCATCAAGCTGAAGACATACTGATTCGATCAGATCTTGCATCAGGAATTAATTAAGTTCCCTGGAACAATAAAATCTGGAATGAGACTGTCGATGGCTAAAGAATCAAATGTAAACGTTTTACCTCTTAGCCAGTGAAGGAAGTTTTATTTGCACATTTTTCCCCCAAGGTAGGAGGGGGAGGGGGAGAGAGAGAGAGAGAGAGAGAGAGAGAGAGAGAGAGAGAGAGAAACCTATTCATTAACACCTCACTTTTGTTTTAAGAAATATTACATCCATTACCAACTAAAAATAAATTGATTTGAGTAATTCTAAGGCATAGAGCACCCATTTTCTTCTCCTTTGATTGATGTCATTGTTCTGTTTTTACAGCTTACTGTTGACAGAGTGAGGTAGTTCGACTACAATTTTTCCAGTGTTTTTTCCCATGTACATATAATCAACAGCACGGAATACAGACTCCAGGCCAGTGAACCTGCCCTCTGGAGACAGATCTCCAAGGTCCACCTCACACACCAGGTCTCCACTTGCACACATCTTGAGCAAGTGGTCCATGGCTGCTTGGTACTCAGAGAGGTAATGGTTCAGGAAGAAGCCCTGGACGCTGGCAGATTTCTTCAGCAGTTTCGCTGGCAATGTTCCTGCTTTCACAGGTGAAAGGCCAGTAGGAGTTTGGTAGCCAGAGACAAACCCAATGACTATCAAGCGCCCTTTGGTAGCCAAGGCATCTACAGCCAAGTCAAACATGGCTCCCCCAACAGATTCATAGACCACATCGACACCTTCGGGGAACTCCTGCTTAAGGACAGTACCAACAGTCTCAGTCTTATAGTTGATAGGACGATCACAGCCAACAGATTTCAGAAAAGCAGACTTTTCATCAGAAGAGCAGGTTCCAATGACATGGCACTTGGCCCTCTTTGCAAGCTGCACAGCAAACTGGCCTGTTCCTCCAGCTGCTGCTGTCACCAAAACTTTTTTCCCTTCAGACAGTTCTCCCAACTCTTTCAGGCTGATGTAAGCGGTGGTGCCACTTACCAGCAGGGTGAGATACTCGGGTTTCACGGAAGGCACTGGAGTTGCAATGTTGGCAGGCACAACTGTGTACTCAGCAAAAGAACCAGGTGCCATGTAAGCCACAGCTTGGCCGACTGTGTATCTGGCACTAGCAGAGAGGCCTAAGGCTACCACCTCACCGATACCTTCGAAGCCTATGTCAAAAGGGGTTTTAACTGAAGGGTTATAGCGGCCAGCTGAATAGTTGATGTCAGATGCGTTAACACCGAAGGGGGTTTTAACTGAAGGGTTATAGCGGCCAGCTGAATAGTTGATGTCAGATGCGTTAACACCCACAAATCTAGAAGAAAACAAACAAACAAATGTATTAAGATGCTTTCTTTCTTAAGGTCTTTATATTCTGCTTAGAAGAATTCCCCTAACTCTGCTGATTGTGGAGGGGTTGCTAAGCTATATAGTCTGATAGAATTGAAGAAAATTTGTCCTGCTGTTCAGTTGAAAAAAAGAAATTAAGCAAGTATTAGTTCAACAGTGGTTTGCACTCAGTTTTGGCATATTTTATTCTTTCATCAGTTTAGAAATAATTTCATATCACTTTAAACAGCTAGTTAGTTACTTCACATGCCATTTATTTCTGTCTTCTTTCTTTCAAAAGGGGGAAAAAAAGTCAGGAAGCCCTCATTATATACAAACTTCACTGGAGCTGAGTTGGAAATTAATTGGCCTCTTAACAAAGATGTTAAAAACAACACTGGGATAAAATATATTCAAAGAAGTAGACTTGTATTGATTCTGGCAACAATTTAACACTTCAGATAATAATAGTAATGACAATGATATTATTAAAGATTGATGTCATGTGCAAGGTCATTGGTTGCTACATGTTACTGCAGGCGTTGTTCAGAACATTGTTAGAGTGGCTGCCGCAAATTGTCTTTCTGATGTAACTATGTCCACTGTGAAAATAAGCATTTTGATTAATTGAACAAAAACTGAGTAGAGCAATTTTTATGGAACATTCAACATTTTACAGTCCTTTCCAGATGAAAAGGAAAGGAAAGCAAATCGTCACTATATTTTTCCTCAACGAGAAACAGAGACATAGCTTGATTAATACCAGATGATTATTTTCATTTTGGTATCCAGAGTCAATTTAATTGCGAGGCCAGTATTTTTCACCAGCTTTTTTCCATCTTAGTATACCTCATAACAAAAATATCCTGATACACAGGAGAAACAACAACAACAACAACAACAAACAAAACATCTACTAGAATGTCAGGAGGTGCCTTATTTCCACCTGTAATGATATGAAAAGATGGTAATCTGGTGGCTGGAGGAAAGCTGTTACGTAGGTCATTTTAAAAGAATTCACTTTTAATTTAACTTAATAAACCAAAACTGCCCTGTGTGAGAATACACTTTCACTGTGATATAGATAATATTACGCACTTATAAATGCTCCCTTATGATTATTCCTTGTATACCTGCAATACTGAAAGGTCTCTACATATTGTAGAAATATGAAAGCGGGAAATGATTTCTTTCCGTTATGTGAAGCTGCTTTCAGAAGTCAGCACACCACACAGCCTCGATAATATGCTACAGAATTCCATACCCATAAATGATACACAATAATGAGAAGTGGGAAAATGATTTTTGCTGGTTTCTCATTTGGCATTTAATACCAAGCTGCCTACATTCTATTTTCAGAGTAGGAGGGGCTGCCATCTTTCCTTTAAATTTGCATAATTCTCCAGGCCTGGTCTTTTTAGAAGGGGCCAGCTTCCTGAGAGCTTGCTCCCGGACCCCACAGCAGCAGCCCAGGGCACATAGCCCAGCTGGAGCGAGCTCAGTGCCCCTGCCTCAGGCTGTAAAGCGAACTCCAGGAAAGGTGCCTGTGCGGTGGAAGCAATGGCAGAGTTTGCTTTAGAGGTGGCCAGTTCTGTTCTCCATGCTCCTTCGCCCACGATTAAACCTTCCCATGCCCCTCGCCCCTCCCGTCTTGTTGCCCCTGGAGTGGCCGATCCTCCGCGGGGTGCCCCCCCCTTGGGCTCAGAGAGACGGAAACCCCCCTCTCCCTGCCCCAGGCAGTGGTGAGACCAAGCAGGGTAAGGCAGAAGAGAGCGCACACGCGCTGGACGCGGGAATGGGGAGGGGGGCAAAGGCCAAATTTAGGGGAGTTGGAGTGATGCTCTGTTGGGAGCTGGGGTGGCTGCTGCTGGCCAGTGGCAGTTTGAGTTTGCCATGCAGTTTTTCTTGAAAAATCACACCAAACAAGCACCGGCAAGCGCTGGAACGGTGGCGACAGGCCCGCAGGGCCCGCGCGCTCGGTCCCTCTCGCCGTCCCCCGCAGCGCGCTCGGTGCGCCCGGGCCGGCCTGCAGAGCGCCAGAAGTAGGTGCTTCTGGGCCGACCTCTCCTCGGAAGAGCGCGGCCACCGCTCGTGGCTCAACCCGTCCCGCGGCCTCCCCACTGCCACCACGGAGAGGGTGATCAATGGCCCCAACTTCAGGAGCGGGCTGGGGCTCGTATAACTTTGAGTTTGCCATGCAGTTTTTCTTGAAAAATCACACCAAACAAGCACCGGCAAGCGCTGGAACGGTGGCGACAGGCCCGCAGGGCCCGCGCGCTCGGTCCCTCTCGCCGTCCCCCGCAGCGCGCTCGGTGCGCCCGGTCCGGCCTGCAGAGCGCCAGAAGTAGGTGCTTCTGGGCCGACCTCTCCTCGGAAGAGCGCGGCCACCGCTCGTGGCTCAACCCGTCCCGCGGCCTCCCCACTGCCACCACGGAGAGGGTGATCAATGGCCCCAACTTCAGGAGCGGGCTGGGGCCGTGCCTGCTGGGCCCTGGAGCGGAGGGGCCGCCACTCAGGCTCACTACCGTGTCCTCGGCCTCCCCGGGCCGGGGGTGTCTTAGCGTGTGCGCCCAGCACGCGCCCTTAGTCCCAGCGTCCGGCAGGGTGCTCCCGCCCGGGGCGGACAAGTTCTGAGTCCCGAGCACTCCGCGCGCCTGAGCGCAGCGACCGCCAGACAGGGCCCGCCTGCGGCCCGGACCTTGACCTTGGTCTTGCGTGCACCCCCATTTTCACCCCTCCCCCACCAGCTCTGCCGTTTTCTAAATCGCCTGTGTCGTGGATGAAGGAAACTCAGGCTGGTGGCAGCAGCCTGCCCGCTGCTCGGCTCCTTCCGCGCACCGCTCCCTCTCCTGGGTCTCCCGGCCCCTACTGCGGGGACCCTGCCTCTCTCGGGTCCCCGCTTTGATACCGCGTTGCCGCAGCGGCTGCTGGAGCCCCGCCACTGCCCGGGACTCGCCTCGGTCCTTACCTGGGCTTTGGGAAGAAGCTGCGCGAGGCTCGGGAGCTTGTGCCTTCGCTCCACCAGAAATTAGCTCAAGAGCAGCAAGCGCAAAGGGAAAGGGGCCCAGGTCGGGGAGAGGGGACAGGAAGGGATTGAGAGCCACAAAAACCCAGGAGAGACGCGCTAGGAAGGATGCGCTCATTTGTAGACCCTCCCTGTACCCCCCTGTAATTGCAAATGCATGTTTGTGGTGAGTGCGGGATTCTAGCCATCCGACCCGAGGAGCCACTTGAAAGACGAAAATCCAGGAACCCCGGAAAAAATGACGGGACCGGTGCGGACGTTCCCCAAAAACATACCCTCCTGGAGTCACCCGGTTTATTTAAACTAAAAAGAGCGGAATGTTCGTCATGTTTATTGTGGAACAGGGCGATCCTGCGGTGGGGAGGAAACGCTTTCCTTTGAACAAAAACCAAATGCCAAGACTCAAGTCCAGGGTAAAAGCCTTCAATACTGGGTGACAAAACAAAGTCGTCCAAACCCAAACCAGACCTTTCTTAAAAAAAAAAAAAAAAAAAAAAAAAAAAAAAAAAAAAAAAAAAAAAAAAAAAAAAGGAAAGAAAAAATCTCGGCCGGGAGAGTCAGCAGAAATATTGAATATTGCTACCCTCCTGTGAGCAGCAAACCCTTTATCAAAACGCCACCCCATCCCCCATGCTCTCCTCGCCATTCCTACAAACTCTTTGCTCCATTATCTTACACTTGAGCGGAAAATCATCAGAAATATTTGGAAACGAAATAATCCGTCACCCTCTTAGAAAAGAGCTAAAAACAGCACATAAAATGATTTCACCTGGGGGTGTCTTTCTCCCGTTTTTCTTTTCTAAGGGCTGAGCATAAAGGAGGAGACGTGAAGTTGTCCTCGGATGCATGAGACAGAAAGGTGAGAAATGGGTAAAGGAATCCAGTGATACTTTCCACTGGGATTTTATATGGACCTCCTCACACCGTTCATGAATGGTAAAGCTTATTATCCTAAATTGATGTCTACCTTACAAGCACTTCCCTCCCTGTTAGTGAAGAATTTGTATTTTCTGCGAAGATGTGATGAGATGTGCAAATGGTTGACTGAAAGAAAAAGTCACACGGAGCACAACTGAAACCTCCGAACACCTTCCCAAACAAGTGAATTTGGGCTTAATACATTCATTCCAGAGCAGATTTGACGATGATAAAAATAAGGACATGCATAAAATTTTAATGCAATTAAGACTGCTTAGGGGAGATTTGGTCTAGGATTGAAGTGAACTAAACCGCAGTGAATTATTAAACCTCTATTCTTAAAAAAAAAAAAAAAATCGGTAAAATGCCGGCCGTGCCTGCTGGGCCCAAAAAAAAAAAAAATCGGTAAAATGCCACCTCCACTGACACTGTTCCCAAGAATGAAGGATCTTCCCACACTTTGTTGGTAAGAGCAGATTTCCCTACAGAGCAGGGAAAGGGGTAGGGCAAAGATTCCGCCCACTCTCAACTCGCAGAAAACTGGCCGCATTCTCTTTCTGTGGCGGACTCAAGGTACAAGTTAGAGGTCAAGCCGTTCACATAAATATACTATTTACATTAAAGGGATTCCTGGCATATGTGGAGGGAAAAAAGAGTCATGGATTTTAAATCAACCCAAACTGATGAGCTCCAAACATGGGGCCGGCGCTCCTGCCCTCTGAACCCTGAATTCAGGGATCCCGCCTTGGGCTATCCCTGGTGACCCAGCGCTGGCGGTGCCTGGGCACCCTGCTGCACCGCCAACGTGGCGGGACAGTAGCCCTTTGGGGAAGGGGTAAGGGAGGTGGCCGAAAGCGATAGCGAGCGTGAAGGGACAGGAATACGGGAAGGGAAAGATACCCAAGCGGAGAGGGAGGCCCGGGAGTGCGGGCGCAGCAGACGGCCCCAGCCTCCACCGTACCGG